AGGGAGAAGCAGGCTCCCCGCTGAGCAAGGAGCCCGATGCGGGGCTCCATCCCAGGACCCCAAGATCATGACCTGAGCGAAGGCAGATACTTAACCGACTCAGCCACCCAGGTGCCCCTAAGTTTTTATTTTTAATGAGATAAAAAAATTCCATCAGACATCCATGTCAGATCCTTTCAGTATTATTTTGAACTTTTCAAAGTACATAGGGCAAACAAAAGTGGCTCAGTGGTTGAGCTGGGACTCTTGGTTTCAGCGCAGGTTGTGATCTCTGGGTTGTGGAATTGAGCCCTGTGTCCCTGAGTCAGGCTCCCAGCTCAGCGGGGAGTCTGCTTGACATTCTCTCCCTCTCCCTCTCCCTCTGTTCCTCCCGCTGCTCACGCACACTCAGATAGATAGATAAATATTAAAAAAAAAAGCTATATTTATTTTCAACTGAAAAAAATGGCCCATCAACATTTTTATTTCTCCTGAATTGTCTCACACAAAACCTTTATCCTATTAGCCTAAAGAGAAATCTGCACAAAACAGTACCCTATTTTCATCACACTTTTTTTCTTAAAAGGTGGTGAGTGACCTCTGGAGGCAATTGGACAAAATATCCTGCTGCTTTCAGGAGTGAAGCAGGGAGAATTAGAAAGTAGATCCTTCCATTTAGAGGAGGTTGTTGTTGTTGTTGTTGTTGTTTGCAAGTTTAATCAGGATGAATTAAAATACTTAACTTTAAAATTAGTTTACTGAACCTCAGTTCAGTTTAGTAATATTTATTAAGCATATAATACAATGCTACATGCTACAGGGGAGATAGAGACACAAAACTTTGAGGTTACAATCTACTAGGAAACTAAAGATAAGTGCTAAAATATTTATAATACAAGCTAGAATGTGGAAGAAAATTGAGGAGTGGCACAACTACACAGGAATTCAGATTTTTGGTTAGGGTGACCAGAGAAAGTCTACTACATTCAACAAACATTTACTGAAGACCCACTTTGTGCCAGGCACTATGCTAAAGGATAAGATTTTATTTATTTAGAGAGAGAGAGAGCATGAGCTGGGGGAGAAGCAGAGGGGGAGGGCAAGGGGGAGTATCTCCAGCAGACTCCATGCTGAGCCGCCTTAGGGCTCCACACCGGCCTCCATGCCATGATCCTGAGATCATGACTGAGCCAAAACCTCAGTCATTAGGCGTCTAAAACAAAACATCCTAAAACATAACTGGCTGTTTTATTTTTAAGGTTAACACCTGTCATACAAAGAACCAGGAAAATGTGGCCAAATCCTGAGGGAAAAGACAATCGTCAAAACAACCCTGAGATAACACAGGTGTTGGAATATTCAAAGACTCTAAATCTGCTATTATATCTTGCAGGAGGTAAAGATAAACACACGTGAGATAAATATAAAGAAAGACATTTTCAGCAGAGAAACAAAGCATGAAAAAGAACCAAGCGGAAATTCTGAACTGAAAAGTACAGTATCTGAAAAGAAACAAGTTCACTGGATAGGTGTAATAGCACAATGGAAATGATGAAAGAAAGCGGCAGTGAACTTGAAGATCGACAAGTTAACAGAAATTACTGAAACTGAAGAGCAGAATGGGATAAAAAGCCTGGAGAAAACAGAACATAGGAGCATCAGGGACCTGTGCAACAGTATCAGAAGGTCTCACATACGACAAAAACAGGTGAAAGAGGCTGAGAAAAATTATGTGAAAAAGTAATGGCTAGGGTGCCTGGGTGGCTCAGATGGTTAAGCATCTGCCTTTGGCTCAGGTCATGATCCCGGAGTCCTGGGATCGAGTCCCGCATCGGGCTCCCTGCTCCTTGGGAGCCTGCTTCTCCCTCTGCCTCTCTCTCTCTCCCTCTCTCCCTCTCTCTGTCTCTCATGAATAAATAAATAAAATCTTTAAAAAAAAAAAAAAGTAATGGCTAAAAACTTCCCAAATTTGGTGAAAGTCGTATATTTACGGATTCCAGAAGCTTGGTGAACTTGAACTTAAATTCAAAGAAAATCATGCCTAGATCTGTCAAAATCAAACTACTGAAAGACAAAGAAAAAAAAAATCTTGAAAGCAGCCAGAGAAAAATGAAATACTACATAAAGAGCAAGGATTGAATGCAGAGTCCAGGGTAGCTAGAAGACACTGGAACATCTCCAAGTGTGGAGAGTAAGGGACTGTGAATCAGAAGCCTGTATCCAGTGAAAATATTTTCAGTAATGAAGGTGAAATAAAGACGTTCTGATATGAAGGAAAACTTAGAAAGCTATTGTCAGCAGAATTGCCCTAAAAAAAAAAATGCTGAAGCTGAAGGAAAAGGGTACCAGAAGGAGACCTGGATGCTTAGGAATGAAGGAAGAGCAACAGAAAATTTAACTATCTAGGTTAATATAAAAATCCTTATTTTTTTCTCTTAAATTCTTTAAAATATATATGATTATTGAGAAGATAGGCAGGAATAAGGCAGGTGCTCTTAGTTAGAGGAGACTAAGCTACTGTAACAAAAATTCAGTGATTTGAGCAACAGGTTTGGGGCACCTGAGTGGCTCAGTCAGTTAAGCACCAGACTCTTGATTTTGGCTTAGGTCATGATCTCGGTTGTGAGAACGAGCCCCGTGTCGGGCTCCACGCTCAGCAGGTAGTCTGTTTGAGGTTTTGTTCCTTTCTCTCTCTCTCCCCCCCTCTGTCCTCCCCCACCCCAATAAACAAACAAACAAATAAATCTTTCAAAAAACAACAACCGGTTTTTTAACAGTCAGAGGGAAGAATTCTCTCCGGCCTTTTCTGCTCACATTTTATTGGCGTCCTTAACTGCAAATTCAGCTGGGAAAAATGTAGGGGGCTAGGGCAGTCATGCACTGGGGGGTTAAAATTCAATTACTTAGGAAAGGCAAATGGACTTTGATGAATAGCTAGCAGCCTCTCCCACAGCAGGTGAAAGAGAAAGGAGGCATTTTGGAGAGAGGGGACCATATGAGCAAAGGTAAGGAAGAGAGAAGCCACACGTAAGGAACTAATAGCAATTTTGATGTTGTTGAAATGGAAAGAGATAAAGCTAGAGAGGTGGGTGGGGAGCAAATGAAGCTGGATTTTATTCTTGAGGAGTTGAAGGGTTTTATGTAGCAGATTTTCATTTCAGTGAGCTACTCAGGGGTGAAAGATGAGAGAACAGAAGACTAGAGGGGAGAAAACCAATTAGGAACCTAGCGGAATAGTTTTGGTGAGAGGTGATAAAGTTTTAAAAGTAGGCTGTGATAATAGCATAGAGGGCTGGTTTCAGAAATATCATCTGTCGAGGTAAAACCGGCAGGACTTGATGAGGAGGGAGAAAGAAGCATCAAGGCAGGATCTCACATTCCTTATAAAGATGACTGGGTGGGTGGTGATATCAGCATGGAGTATCACAGAGCAGGGGCAAATTTAGGAAAAAAAGGAGTTTGGTTTTAGGTGATAAAGATAAAATACTGTGAAGCTTGAATTCCTACAGAATAGTTTTGGTTATATTAAATCTCAGTGAGCCAGTTGGAGGTGTGTCGTTCAAGACAGAACTCCTCCATGGAGGAGGCACACAAAATCCTTTGTAACCTACCTCTCATAGAACCTTCTGTTCTCTTTAATACATATACCTTTTGTTTCAGCCACATCAAACTTTTCTCAAAGAGGCCTTCCCTGACTCTGAAATCTAAAACAGGTTCTCTTACATCACAGCCTCTGTACTTTCTGAGGTAACCTGGGAAGGGCTTAATGACCAAATGGATGCGGCTGGAGAGATGGGTTGGAAAGGAAATGATGAGGAGATTTAGGTTTGTAGTCTGGGAGCCTAAGTGGTAAAAGTAACTGGGTGCAAAAGCACATTTCCGATAGACAATAACAAATATTCACACGTCTTGAGGCCGTGGTCTGGTCAAAGAGCAAAAGGAAACAAAAAGCTGGTATTGGATAAAGAAGACAAGGCCTTTCCTTTTCTGCAGGCACACCTCTGCTCAGGGATCCTGGAAATCCACGTCCCGCTCCCCTTCCTGACAACAATGGTATCGTTTGCGGGGACTGGAGCCAGTGTGCTTGAAACCTCAGCTTTGGGTCGGGACTTCTCCTGAGCTACTGTTACACTATGTACAGCCCCTGACCTTGGGCACGTTGCTACTTATTCTCCCTGACTTAACCCAGCTGTCTGTAAAACGAGGAAAACGTGGAATTTGGAGTGTTGTTCTGAGGATTCATTGAGCTAATACCCGTGAACGCTTACATATGAGGTTCAACAAATGTGGTGGAGTGACACATGGACGACATAGCTCAAAGGAGCGAGGACAGCAATTCTAGAAAGCTGTATAAGGGACAGACCGGGCTCCCTTTGCCCTGCGAGGAGACCTGGGCAGCGGGTGCAAAGCCATACCCTGCCCATCTTGGCCCGCTTTTTCGCCCGCAAGGGCGTGGCCGCGTCTTACCTCTGGATCCGTCGGGTCCCAGGCTGCAGCTTCAGCTCACTCCGCCACGGGGCGCCCGCTTGCTGGGCCTCTGTGGGCTCAGCTGTGTGTGATGCGGCAGCCCGGGCGCCCACGTCCGGTCTCCCAGGCAACCACATAAACTTCCGGTTTGGGACCGGCCGCGGTTGGCGAGAGGCCACATTTCCGCCACGTGATCCCCTCCGGCAGCTTGCCGGCTGAAGGGCTAGCATCACCGGCCTGCAACGCCCGGCGTTTTCCCGAAGTTCGGACTTCCCGGCCCTGACCAGGGGGCAGTTCCTGGGGAAGCGGCTCCAGCCGGGACGGCCGGGCCTGCAGGGGCGGGGCCGGGGCTTGGCTCCCAGTTCCCGAGGCTCCGCTGAGAAGCCGGGCGGCAGCAAGACCGCTTCTCCTGAGCCGCCGAACTGGAGTTGGAGCTGGAACTCCGTGGGGCCGGGGCCCCGGCTGCCGGGCAGCGGCTCCTCGGGGCCGAGGCCGCGGCGGAGAATGAGGCGGTGGCGGTGGCAGGCTCCCGGCGGAGCCGCCAGGCTGGAAGCATGCTGCGCTGGTTCATCACCGTGATCTTGTGTGCTGCCTTCCTGGGGCTGGTGAGAGCCGGGGCTGGAATCCTCCCAGGCCGGGGTGTAAGCGGGCGTCCTGCAGAGAACGCCGGCTTCGGAGTTCGAGTCTCGCCTCTGCCACTTGCAAACTGTGTGACCTTGGGCGCGTTCGTCGGCCCCAGCCTTGGTTTCCTAATCTGAGAAATGGGCACAGTTCTACTGTCGGAGGGTTATTGTCCAGTGGGAAATTGATTTTCCTAATATATTTGCCAGCTCCAGCAAACCTTCCTACTTCTACGTGGGGTGGGGGAGATAGATGCAAGGGGGTGTTGCCAGGTCTATAGGCCCTCCCCCTTGAGCCCGCGCAGACCCCAAATTATTACACAAAGCTGCTTTTCTGGGATTTCCTCTTCCTTGTCTGACCAAATTCAGCCAACTCCTTATTTTCGCAGACGGGGCAAAATAGACCCATAGAGGGAAAATGACTTTTCTGGACCACATAGCTGGTTTTAAGTGGTGGAGGCAGGAATAACATGTCTCTCATTCTACCCACAATTCTATGTAAAACAAACCTTTAGATCCTTCAGTTTTTGTTTTTTGTTTTGTTTTTTTAAGAGCGAACTGCGAGGCTAGAAGCGCCGTTTGACAAACCCCTTGGCTGCCCCACGATTCCCTTATTTCTAGAGATCGTCCTCTCATCACTTGTCTTGAATATTGGGCTCTTGGGGGTTTGGTAGGGTTAGTCCTCTGAGGAGAGTCACTTCTCAGAGAGTTCTCTGAGAAAGTCACTTAGCGTCTTTCGCTTGAGCCACAACGGATTCCTAGAGTATTCTAATTTGAAAAAAGAAAAATCATTGCAGACGCTTCTTGAGCCCTCACCTTGTGCCAGGTCCTGTTTTAAGTGCTTTACAGGAAGGACGTAATTTGATTGGAGATGGAGCTCAGCGGTCCCTGGTCCATCTTGCTCTGCTCTGGCTTGGGCAAGATGCACAACCGTGTTTTGAGCAGAGCAGTCCAATTAGAATGAATTATTCTTGAAGCATAGACCTATTAGAAGCATTTTTTTTTTTTAAGTGTCCAGCAGATATTCTCTGATGGCTTGGGGTTTTCTTTGAAGAAAAATACAGATTTAGAAACGTTTGAATTGTCTATTTTCTGTGTATTTTGTATGTGTCAGAGGAAAGACACCATGTGCATCCAGAAATATTGCTGTTTTAACAACATAAAAAAACAGGAATGCTGTTTTAATGGTTTGATAATTTAAATTTTTAACATCTAAATTCCTGTTATTTGTGCATATAGTATATTTCAAAGTGCACATAACTATTTCAAAAATGATTTTGATGTTACATTTTACTGTTAATACAAGAGTCTTTTGCGGTTTTGTTCAAAAAGGAAACAAAATTGTAGCAGAGAGCCAAAGAAATTAAAGAATTTTTTTTTTAGACTTGAGAGTTGTCAAAACTAGAAAACCAGTAGGATTTGACACACCAAATGCAGTAGCCTATAGTCTAGGAGTCCTAGTGCTGTCATCCTGAATTTTTCCTGAATGTGAGATTTAAAGTAATCCCCTACATTACACTGAAATCCCCTCCTCCTTTTTTATTTTTTAATTAAATTTTTAGATGTGGGGGAGGGGCAGAGAGAGAGAGAGGGAGAGAGAGAATCTCAAGCAGGTTCCAAGCCCAGCGTGAAGCTTGATCTCCCAACCCTGCGGTCATGACGGAGCTGAAATCAAGAGTGTGAAATCCAGAGTCGGCTGCTCAACCACCCAGGCGCCCCTCCTCCTCCCTTTTTAATAGTGAAAAAAAACTACCACATAGACATTATTTTAATGATTGTAAATGAAAGGTTTTGTCTTTTTAAATTTTAGGGAATGAGTGTTGCTATACTGGGACCGACATTTCAAGATTTGGCAACAAATGTGAACCGCAATATTAGCAGTCTTTCTCTGATTTTTGTGGGCCGTGCCTTTGGATTTTTAAGTGGCTCAGTGATTGGTGGAGTTCTTCTTGACATTATGAATCATTTTCTACTCTTGGGTAAGTAAAGACCAATTTTAGCTTTTAATGACTTCCAAGGAATTTATATTTTGTTTTTAAAAATGAAACATTTTATGGTTGACAACTCAGATGAGTAGTGTTCAGGCGTCCTCGGTGAAAATCAGGTTTCCTTGGTGCCTGTTTTCATCTCAACAATTATAGAGAATCTATGCAGGGCCGCTCTGGAAATTTAGATTAGCCCTAGAATGTGTTACTATCTTCAGCCTTCCTGACCATCAGTGTAATTTAGGCACCACCCCTGGATTACATACTAGTTGTCCAAAGAACTCTGCTTGTCAGGGTTTAGGGCAGATCTCCTGGGGCCACCAGAGATCAGAATGAATTCCTTGAACCTGCCCAGGCTAGGCCCTGCACTGAGAATGAAGGTGGGAAGTACTGGGGGCAAAATGACGTGGGCTAAAGTTTTGTCCCAGCCGCCCCATGTTAATGATGCCTCCGGACCGCTCTACCTCGCCCTTCAAGTAGATGGCAAAGCTTTTAACTTACTCTTTCTTGAATAAATAGACACGTTTAAAGAAAATCTGGATTAATGTGATAAAAATGCTTTGGAAGTAAGGAAAATAATTTACTGTTGTTGATGAATAAATGAATAATTGCTCAGATTTCCAAAATGGGTCGAGAACATATAGATCTTGTATTTCCCTCCTTATTCCCAAGCTAAATTACTTAATACATTTCTACTACAAACTATCATAACTGTATTTCATTTTTCTCTTTTAATTTTTTACCTCATACCTAAAAGTTTTTGTATTTATTGGATATATGTATGTGTGTATGTATGTATTTATTTAGATTAAAACTCTTTCTAAAATACGAAATATTGAAATAAATTTTTGAGTTGTCAGTTTTGCTATAAAACTTTGCCCTGTAGTATATGGTTTGATTATCAGCAATGCTAGAAATGTACTCACATTAGGTTAACTTATATTTTACAGTCCATAAAGATTATGAAAGCTTGTAAAGGAAATAACCATTTATAGATGCTGAACCTCTTATCCACTTGCTATTACCCAATTGTAATTTGACCTACTTTGCATTTATGGGAATTTCTATGATGTTGACTTGATTTATGACTCCTTGCATGAATATTGTTTTTTATAGCTGACTTTTACCTTTCTTCTCAGGGGTGTCAATGTTGACCACCACAGTTGGTCTTTATCTTGTTCCATTTTGTAAGACAGCAGTATTGCTGATTGTCATGATGTCCGTCTTTGGTGTTTCAGCTGGCGTTCTGGATACAGGTCAGTGAGCCCTGCAGGGTCATCTCTGGGAGTAGGGACTTTCTACTAGAAAAAGTAGAGCAGATGACATCAAATTGTCATTTGCAGTGTAAAATGACACCGACCTACTGAATTGCTCATGGGGTCACCCAGTCAGAACTACCCTCTGGCAACTACTCTTCTTGCCAAGTAGGGTGCCTGTTTTTGGCAATTCATGGAGTGAACTTAAGGAATTTTGTTCAGTGAGAGAGTATTGATTTGCAGTACCCAAACAGGAAAGGGTCCCCCATGTGGGTAGTTATGGTGCAGGTGAGTGGGCTTTCATTTTGGGATAGAACTTTATCAATGTAGTATGGGAGGAATTGATGGGTTAATAGGTTAAACCAACTTTGGAACCATATTTGGCTGAGGAATCATAGAAGCAGCTATCCAATTTAAAAAGCCCTCTGCCTTATGAACTAAGAGAAACCTGTGCTGGGTATTATTTTCCTTCTCTCTTTTTTTCCCCCCTCTCAAAAGCTCCTGCCTTCCTGCAGGAGATCCTCTTCATGTGTCTTGTTATCTTTTAAAACCTACTAAACAACACACTTGGCATCTGTCCACCCCTAAAACCAGCTCTCTTCTTCCCCTGCTCTATTGTTACCTGATATATCGGGGATATATACTTTAGGCTTAGTTTGGTTGTGAAATTATGGGGTACAATTTTATATTTGTCTCCAAATATGTTAAAAAAAGAGAAAGAAAGCACAACACTTGATGCTTCTTGCCTTTCACCTTTGTTTCCTGTAATGGGCCCAGCAGAATTCTACAGTGTTCAGGTTTCTGAACATGTGTTTTGCATCTGCTATATACCTAAATAATTTTCCTCAACTGGTTATTTGGTAATTTGTCCATTATCTCATGATAATATATAATTAAAATGTTTACAAATAAATATCCACCTCTTTCCCACCCTCCCCACCCCTGCCAGCCTCGTATTAGAACTGTCTTGTAAAAAGCCTTGGGCTAAGGTGCCTGGCTCTAGGAGGTCGTGGTTTACTAGCTTGTAGAATCCATTTGTGAGTAGGTGATGTTCCGATGCTTAGAGTTCTGTGGTGGTGGTAGGATAGAGTTCCTTAGTCATAAAATCGACCGCGTTGCAACATTTGATGACTGAGAATACCTTCATCCTTGGGCCATGTAAAATAGACTCATCCTCCTTCTGATAGTAATGAACTGGTTTTTGCTAAGTTACCATGATTAAATAATTTTCCTCATCTTTCATTGGTAGGTGGTAACGTCCTAATCTTGGCTATTTGGGGGGACAGAGGAGCCCCACATATGCAGGCCTTACACTTCAGTTTTGCCTTGGGTGCCTTTTTGGCTCCACTGCTGGCTAAGTTGGCTTTGGGCACGACGGTGTCTGCTGAAAACCACACAGAGCCTGACTCTAACCATTCTGCCCTCAACCAGTCGCCTGAAGTTGACTCAGAATCTCTGCTTGGAGTACCTGACAACACGAATTTACTGTGGGCGTATGCTGTTATCGGTACTTATGTTTTTGTAGTTGCTATCTTCTTTTTGGCTCTGTTTTTAAAGAAGAGCTCAAGGCAGGAAAAAGCAAAAGCATCTGCTCAGAGGTCTCGAAGAGCTAAATACCACAGTGCCCTTCTTTGTCTCCTTTTTCTGTTCTTCTTTTTTTATGTTGGAGCCGAGGTAACATACGGCTCTTACGTTTTCTCGTTTGTGACCACCCACGCAGGCATGACGGAAAGTGAAGCGGCTGGGTTGAACTCCATCTTCTGGGGGACCTTTGCAGCCTGCAGGGGCCTAGCCATCTTTTTTGCTACATGTTTACAACCTGGAACCATGATTGTGTTAAGCAACATTGGCAGCCTGACATCATCCTTATTGTTGGTGCTTTTCGACAAGAGCCCAGTTTGTCTCTGGATAGCGACTTCGGTGTATGGGGCCTCGATGGCCACCACGTTTCCCAGTGGTGTTTCTTGGATTGAGCAGTACACAACCATCCATGGGAAATCTGCAGCATTTTTTGTAGTCGGTGCTGCCCTGGGAGAAATGGCTATTCCTGCAGTAATTGGAATTCTTCAAGGACAATACCCTGATTTGCCTGTAGTTTTGTACACCTGTTTGGGGGCATCGATAGCCACTGCTCTTTTATTTCCCATGCTCTATAAATTAGCCACCTCACCTCTCAATCAACAGCGAAAAGAACACAGGCAAAGCGAGGACCAGAAAGCTTTGCTGTCTAGTTCTGAGCTAAATGACTATGAGGAAGACAATGAAGAAGAGGATGCAGAAAAATGGAATGAAATGGATTTTGAAGTGATCGAAATGAATGATACAGTGAGGAATTCTGTAATAGAGACATCTAAAAATATTCTGATGGAGCCCTTGGCTGAAGTCTCCAGTCAGTTCCACTCCAGTGCAGTGGTACTGGAGTCCCCTCCAGTTGATAGTGGCCAGTCCCCTGTGAATCATCTTGCAAGAAACCAGGCTAAAAGGGACTAACACCTAGAGAAGATGGATTATTCTGACCTCCTTGAATAATCTCTAGTTGTAAAGAAGCCAGTCAGAGCAGAGCATTAACAGATTTTCAGCATGCTTTGGGGATCAAAATTTGTAGGTCAGAGTGTGGCAAGTGCTACAAAGTTTTGAAAGGTTCTGTAATTCTAGAGTTTTCCATAAAGAACAAATGGTCTCCTGGGGCAGGATCTTATTGTGAGGCTAGTGTTTGGCACGTGGCTGATTAGGTAATGTTTTATGGTCTCCACCCCTCAAAGCATGCAAAGAAGGTGTTGTTGAGAAGTTGGGTGCTATTCTAATAGAACGAAACCACCTAGTAGTTGAATTGATTAGCTGAACAAATGATCAGTCATCAGTATTATACCAGGGAAGTAGAGGAGTGTCATTTCATAAAAGAGCAACTTTGAAAATGGAGAGAGATTTTTATTAATTGCTTTGCCCTCCCTGTAGTGTTGCGCCGGAGAATGCTGATTCCTCATTTGATTTCTGATTTCTATGAGGAGAACACAGAACAGGGCCCTAGAGACCCGGCTTCAGGACTGCTGCTTACTAGTTTTCTGGCCCTGCACTCAGTCCTTAAATAGGCCTTGTTTATCTGTCTCCTGATCTGTGATTCTTTTAGTGAAAATGAGATGATTTTCAAACTAGGAATCCATAAGTTTCAAAGTTTGTGCAAGGAAAAAAAAAGTAAAAAAAATAGTTCATGCAATGTGTCTGTTAGAAATAACGTAAGTGCCATCCATTCTTCATTTCTTTCTTTTTTTTTTTTAAAGATTTTATTTATTTATTTGAGAGAGAGAGAATGAGAGATAGAGAGCACGAGAGGGAAGAGGGTCAGAGGGAGAAGCAGACTCCCTGCCGAGCAGGGAGCCCGATGTGGGACTCGATCCCGGGACTCCAGGATCATGACCTGAGCCAAAGGCAGTCGCTTAACCAACTGAGCCACCCAGGCGCCCTACATTCTTCATTTCAAATGAGAAGTGAAACAAAAGTGATAGTTTTGAGACTACTGATTATGAATACATGTCAATTTAAGAGACTCAGTGTTTAATAATTACCTGCAAAACACATTTTTCAGTACTGTGTTTCATCAGTTCTAAGATGCACCTTTTTTCACATTTTTAACATCTCTGAAATCAGAATATGTCTTAAAGTCAGTGGTCACTTAACATTTTGTGACAAAATTTAATTGACAGTTATCCATGTACATATACAAAATAATGTTGCATGTTACAGTCGGTGTCTTACAGTAATTCATTCAATTATGGAGATTTTACTATTTTTACAGATATTTTAAAAAGTTATTTTTATATGCTGATTTTCTTGATGTTCAAGTGGGATTTGGAGATGCAATGTTCCAAGTTTAAAAGCTGCTCCTTAGTAATGAAGTCTGGGTCTGGGCCTTGCTCTTACAGGGTTTGTTCTTTATTGAGTCTGGCTGGTAATTACATTGTAAAAACTGTAAACTATGCTGCTCGTTTAATTTACAAAGAGGCACAGTCTTTTCCAGTATTTGGAATATTTGTTTCACCCACCCAGGGCTCTTCCTTCCTGAGTTTGAAATACCTGGGAAACCAAAATAATGATTAGAAAGGGGCTTGGTGGGCGCCTGGGTGGCTCAGTTGGTTAAGCGACTGCCTTCGGCTCAGGTCATGATCCTGGAGTCCCGGGATCGAGTCCCACATCGGGCTCCCTGCTCGGCAGGGAGTCTGCTTCTCCCTCTGACCCTCCCCCCCCTCATGTTCTCTCTCTCTCTCTCATTCTCACTCTCTCAAAGTAAAAAAAAAAAAAAAAGAAAGGGGCTTGGTGGCCTAGAGGTCAGGGATCACAAAGGGTACTTCATATGAGTGTGGCAACGCTGGTGTGAGCTCTCCTTTGATAAATGACTAGCACTGATGACAGCTTTTGTTTACTTCTCTTTACCATGTTTTATGGTGAATAACATTTAATTTCTACCTGCTTGCAGTATGTTTACTTTCTCTTACTTATCTAATTTCTACAAATTTGCCTTTGTTTCTTCTCGAGTGAAATGTATCTTTTTTGACCACTGCTCATTCACTTTCAACACCTGCCATAATATGGGTTTGTATATAACCTAGCAATTTTGGAGAGGGCCGGTGGAGAAATTAACAGTAAAAAACATACTCTTCTTGCTCTTTTGTATTGTACTTTTCTCTTAGCTACAACTTGGAGACTACCTGTGTTCCATTTACTGCTTTTTCTCAGGTTGTTGGAATTCAGGCAGTAGATGCTATTTGGCAGCTGGGAGGCTTGCTAGAACAGGGATTCTCTCTGCAGCATCTACATTTGACGGGTAGAAGATGCAGCTCAGGGAGAAAAGGATGATAATAAGAACATGGCAGAAAATTTGGAAATCCACACTGGAAAGTCCACTAGAGTTCCACAAACCAAAATGTGAATGGCCATATGAGATTGTAGGCATTGTTAAAGTTTGATGTATTTCCATATTGGAAGGATAAGACTTTGTACAATTCCAAGAATTAGCATTCATTCTAATAATCAGTCCTTAGGTAAGTGTCTGCTGATATACAAGTAGCCAATACTGAAGTTTTCTATTGCTGAATAACAAATTTAGCAGTTTACAACAGCATTTTTGTTTATTTTAAGTAGGCTCCACGCCTAGTGTGGAGCCCAACGTGGGGCTTGAACTCACAACTGTGAGATTGAGACCTGAGCTGAGATCAAAAGTTGGTTGTCTAACCGACCGAACCATCTAGGCCCCCTAACAACAGACATTTTTTGTCTCACAGTTTCTTGAGTCAGAAATCTGGGCATGACTTCACTGGGTCCTCTGTTTAGGGTCTTGTGGGGCTGCTGCAGTCAAGCTGTTGGATAGAGCTATGCTCCATTTTGGAGCTTAGGGTTCACTTCTAGGGCCATGTATGTGGTTGACAGTATTCAGTTCCTTGCTGTGGCATGCTCAGGTCCCTGTTTTTTGCTGGCTGTGAGCTCCCATCAGTCCCAGTTCCTAGAACCTCCCATGGTTTTTTTTGCCAGGCAGCCCTCTGTAGATCTCTCACAACGTGGCAGCCCATTTCTTCAAAGCCAGCGGGAGAATGGCTTTCTCTCACCCCAGTCTGCTAAGCTGGAGTCTTTCTTTCTTTCTTTTCTTTCTTTCTTTCTCTTTTTTCTTTTTCTTTCTTTCTTTCTTTCTTTCTTTCTTTCTTTCTTTCTTTCTTTCTTTCTTTCTTTTTCTCTTTCTTTCTTTCTCTTTCTTTCTTTCAAAGATATTTATTTATTTGAGACAGAGAGAATGAGAGAGAGAGAGAGAGAGTACATGAGAGGGGGGAGGGTCAGAGGGAGAAGCAGACTCTCTGCCGAGCAGGGAGCCTGATGCGGGACTCGATCCAGGGACTCCTGGATTATGACCTGAGCCGAAGGCAGTCTCTTAACCAACTGAGCCACCCAGGCGCCCTAAGCTGGAGTCTTCTTTAACGTAATATAATCACGGGAGTGGCATCCCCTCACCTTTGCAATATGCTCTTGGCTAGAAGCAAGTCACGGGTTCGACCCAAACTCAAGGGAGAGAGGCTAGTACAGAGATGTGACTCATTGGGTGTTACCTTGGAGTGCGTGTGCTGTACACACTCTGGTACTTGCAGAACCAGGGTTCCAGAGAACTAAAAGTTGGAGCTGGGGACAAGAAGCCCTCAGCAGTCACCGAAAGTGATGATAGGTACCAAACTGAGTGAGTGGGGGTGGAAGGCTCCATTAGGCCAGGCCAATGAACCTGATAGAAGAGACTCTGTGGGGCGATGGATGGGCTAACTCAGAGTTAGGCTTTTTTTCCCCTTGACGTTTTATGTTCTTTCCCACTGTGATTTTAACTTGTTCAAATGCAGCTTCCTGTAAGAGAAATAGGTAAATTTCAGTTTAGTTATATTTTCATAGTATTAATTTTCAAAGTAAAGATGCTTTGAGGGCATCTTTCAGTTACTCTTATTTTTTAAAGAAAAATTCTTTTTAAAAATCTGTTTTTATCATAAAAGTAATGAAGGTATTAAAAAGTCAGCTGGAAGATTAGGGAAGTACTTAAAAATGTAAGGGACAAGTATAATTTATGCAAAGTTTTTATTTATTTTTAAAGTAAGCTCTATGCCCATTGTGGGGCTCGAATTCCCGACCCCTGCGATCAAGAGTCAAATGCTCTACCAACTCAGCCAACCAGGCACCCTTGTATAAGTAATTTATAATTCTAAACACTTAGAAAAGTTCTTAAGATTTCTCCTCAACATAATTTCCTGGGTGAAGGGGTAAAAAAAAAAAAAATTCCCTCCTACCAGATAAAGTTTCAGAAACAACTTGAATTTTGTGTCCAGAGTGCATTGCCACTGCAGTTAATGGACTGGTTATCAGTTTGAAGAATTGTAATTTATTAAAAACAACAAACCTAATTGATCAGTGGAGTAACACCCTCCTAAAAACTGTGTGAGACCCAGATTACATATAAAATGATTTCGTTTCAGGTAGAATCATTGAATAATCAGAATAGCTTTCTCATAACCAGAACTTTTGGTTTACCATAGCAGTATATCCTGCCACTTACAAGTTATTACTAAAATAGAGCTTAAATTTCTTAATGGAAGTAGATAACATTCTTCTGGGATACCCTGTATCTATATCTGTTAAGTGCCACTTGTTTTGTTCACAGTGCTCTGAATGTGTGTGTGTTTGTGTACATGAATCCACAGATACTGTGTGTGTTTGATACTTTACTGTAAGGGTGTAGTGGGCGTAGAGGTGCTAGAGAAGGGATACAAAAAAGCTTAAGGTATGATTCCAAGTTTGTTAGAAATGGCCCTTTTTTTAATTGAAAATTTTATTGCAATTGTTATAGATTTACATGCAGTTGTGCCTAGTGTTTTTGTTTTTGTTCTAAATTTGTTGAGTGAGGGCTACTTGCTCAATCTGGAGAGTAGAGAACTAGGCTAGTGCTTCTCGTATGTTAATGTGCATTTGAATTGCTTGTTA